AATGGGGCACCTACCAAACCAAATGGCATTCGTTTAAACTGGTATTGTTTCTGCCCAACTGTGAACGCTGTTTTACTTCGATCACTTTCTGCTATTGGGATCTGCCAGTAACCCGATCGTAGGTCGAACACGGTGAATAACTTGGCTTTATGAAGGCGATCAAGAGTTTCTGTTACGGTAGGCATTGCACACTGTTTCACTTCGGTGAGGCTATTCAGCTGTCTGAAGTCGACACAAAATCTATATTTCCCGTTAGCTTTCTTCACCAAAAGGATTGGCGAACTGTACGGACTGTCGGCTTCTTCGATTATTCCGTCGTTTAACATTTCTCTGACTTGCCGGTTAACTTCTTCTTCAAGGTGAACCGGAACTCGTCGCGATGAGAAGACTGTCTTCCCCGTATCCTTTAGTGGGATGTTATGCTTAACCTTATCACAATAACCGTATGGGTCTCCATCACTAGTGAATAACCCGGCATATTTACTCATCAACGTGGTTAGACGTGGTGCCTCTTGCTGAACAATGGTTGTGGTTTCCACCTCAGCGACTTCACTATTCTCATGTATCGCGAATTGCCCGTGTTTTGTGACCACTTTTCTATTCTTCATATCGATTACAGCTCCTACTTCTCTGAGAAAGTCTGCTCCCAAAATCGTTCGTCTGATATCAGAAGTTACAATAAACGGATATCGTATTTTTCCTGCTCCAATCTCTACAACGCAGTCTGAAACGCCAAGAATGTGCAACGGATGTCCTCCTACCGTCTGAACTGCTAATGTGCACGGCCTTATTTCCTTACACTGTTCTCTACCTATCAACGAAACTGCCGCCCCTGTGTCGACCAAACAAACTATTTCTTTTTCGTTCACCCGTAATCTCCCGTACACTGAACCTCTTTCGACTAACCCGACCACCTCTAAACGCGAGCGAGAAAAAGAAGGAAGACTGTATCGTTTAAGGTTTTTCTGCCTTCGTTTCGGGCAGTTTCTCTGCCAGTGACCGGTTCCTCCGCAAGCAAAGCATCTGTTGTTTGTTCTTTTCTTTATCTGCATAGCTGCCACCTGTTGTTTCAACTCTTCAATCTGGTCTTCGATCTTCTTGGAATCTTGGCCCTCCGACATCACTGGAGCAACATGCGAGGTCATTATCTGCCTTGTCACCTTGGCCATTTCATAAACATCCATTGGCTGAGCTGCGTTAACTAGCTGCAACTGATGCGCGATATCTGTCGGGACGCATTCGAGGAACTGAGATGCAAGCAACTGCTCCCGTGAATCTTCGTCTAGGGTGGGTAACGCGCGTCGCAGGTGATTCGTCAGCGTTACTGCGAGAACCAACGGATCCCCATCCTGGCCAAGTCTCAGCGTCCGGAACTTCTGCAGCGCCTCTTGTCTGTCCGCAGGGCTGTCGAACTCGCACACGAGCCTCTCGACGACCTTGTCCCACGCCGCCTCACCTTCCAGCTCCCGAGCGTTGTCGTACGCAGCCTTCGCGCGGCCCCTCAGCAGCGTCCCCAAGACAACCAGCTTCGCCTTCTGCTCATGCACTCCAAGCAGCTCCGCGACAGCTTCAAAGTCCCTGAGGAACGTCCGCACATCTCCCTCCTCGAACACCTGCGGCCATGGCACCTTCATCTCCGGCAGAGGCAGCGACACCAAATGTAAAGAAGACAAGACTGAGGAGACTGAAAGGAATGTTTATTTGATGAAACGTATAGTACATAGCTAAATTTGGAATACCATATTCTCAACCGGCTATTTGCACATCTTTACCACATCCTTGACGAATTGACCGAATATCGTCTCATTCGATAGCTTCTTGGATTCTGCATCATATGGCAACATTCTTCTCATGGTTCTCTTCTTTGAATGCTCTTTCCAGTGTGTCAAACATGTTGTTACTTCGCTCCTGATATACTACTTATACCGGGTTATAAGTAGCACTCACCACACTACTACTACTACTAAAAGTGCAAGTGGTATTTGCAGTACACTGATCAACCTGTATAGCAAGCAGATGTTACACAAGAAAAAGGGGAAAACGAACGCGGAATCCAATACGGAACTTAAACAAAGTGTACAAAATTTGAACAAACTAGATTTCTCAGTGACAAATGAATGTTAAATTAACAAAATAGAAAAGTATTGAAATGCAGAAAAAGAGTGATTCAAAAACGAATGCATTCGCATCAGTGTAATTTTTACTTTTAGCCTTACTACTCACTCTATGAGTTTCCAGATATTGATCTCATTTCTTTCGTGAATTTCAACTCAGATGAAGAGTTAAAAGTGGTCAGACTAAAAGGTCAGGTGTATTGTTAGGTAAGGAGATTAACATCAGTTGACGAGATTTTGAAGCTGAATCATTTGAGATGGCTACTACGCTTGCCAAGTTACTGCCTTCTACGTCGTTCAATGTCAACCGGCACAAGAGTAGCCTGACAGAGTTAGAAGTGACCATATCAAAACATGGCATAAATCCATGAAGTATTTGAAAGTTGATTTTAGCCAGATATGAACGTATAGACAGCTGGGCTAAGGTTCTCGAGACGGACGGAGATTGTTAATGATATTACTCAAAAGTGTTGTGTCAGTAGCTACAAGAACTCACTCTCTATGATCTCCTAAATTCACTTGTTCTCCATGCAATGATTCTTTCGCTCGTATATTATCGTCCGCTATAGTTTCTCTACATTTCTCTTATTTTCTAACTTCATCTGTGCTTTTATAAAGTATGTCAACCTGAAGATCTACACTTTTGTGCGAGGTTTTAAGTCGAAACATTCAGTTCAGTTCAAGAAGGCTACATCTACATGATCCACACAAAGGGTAATGAACTTTATGAATCAATGGTATGCTCTAAAGACATTTTCATCCTACTGCCAAGTCAGTTAATGTAGTTAGATGCACGAATTTATCGAACGATTTATTTCGTTTCTTTACAGTTTGACTCCTAATATGATTAATAATGCCATATATTAATAATTAGATCGGTAATAAAAATTATCATTTCGACCGGTAAATGCACCGAAATTATTTTTATGACTAACATATTTTTTTTTCATGGAACTATATTATAAACAAAAATTTCAACGTGATCACCATGTGAAAACAAACTATTGGACAGTTTTTTCAGTATCTTGTATAATCGATAGGAAGTTATGAAAGTAGTACTGACTGATATATTTCATTTTATGTCCACTAGTATTACAGTTCAGATTACGATTTCACCGGTGACTATATCAAACTGTATTGGTAGATCTGCTTCTGACTTTTTAATATGGAATTAAGTAGAATACAGTGTCACCAAGTTTGATGATATTAGACAGTTGGAGGCAATCAACCACAGGAAGCCTTGGACCTAGGTTTCGTGCTAGTCGGCACTCATCAGCTAGGCGTATCTGCAACCTTGAAGGAACTCATTTCCCTTCTGAGATTCGAACCCGCGTCACCCTGTGCTGCAGTCAGAGACGTTACCACTGAGCTATTCGTGCTCGTGATTGACCTCCTGACCTCATGTTGGATAGATAGTTCCTGCCGATTGCCTCCAACTATCTAATATCATCAAATCAATGTGCACCGTGATGGTGAGCTACCTAGAATGGTGGCCACATTGCAAATACCTGACTGATAGAATTCAGTCTGCACCAAAGAAAGGACTAGACACGTCACACTAGTTACTAGTGTCCAATCAAAGTGTCACCAAGTGTTGCTCTGAAGGGATTTGATTGATTTGAACTGAAATCAGTTCAATCAAATCCCTGGAAACAAATGTGGCGTGTGCTACACAGATGCAAATTGATAGGAAGCGGCCGAAAATTGAAATCAACATTTTAAGTCAATGACTGTCAGGGTAGATTTAGTTTGCGTTGTGGTCTGGAAATAAACTCATTGGACAACTTTCCGTCCTTCAGTTATCACCTTGAGCCGATCGATAACCAATCAGAACAGTTTATTGTCCGCTGACCTAGCCGACCTCTAATGTAGTGAAAAATGTATAAATGTGAAGAGTTTTTCTTCAATAAAAAAGTTCGTTATTACTTCTCTCATGAAATTGACTGGAGTTCTAGTGAAAAGTCATGTCCAGCGGGATCCACCAGGTTTGGTGTGAAGAAAAATACTCGCCGATAACATTGGCTGGCGATTGTGCCGTTTATCGTAAATCAGCAGAAGACACAAATTCGTGCACCATTGAGTTTCGTCCCAGTGGCTAAACGGTCAACGGGCTTGCCCTGTAACTTGGTGGGATCATGGATGAGTACTGTCAAAGATACGCATACTAGGACGAAATAGTTGTCTAGTATTCGCTGATTTTTAATGATCCTCTAACTGATGTCAGTTTGTGATCAAACTTGAAAACACAACAGTGCATTAAATCACTTTGCATCATAAGGTTTGTATACAGAATTAAAATGAATGCAATGAGGAGTGGAAATCAGCTAAAGGATTGTATTACATGTAAAGGGTCTTACTTTGTGTGTGTGTGAGGACTAGTGGTTCTACTTGACTATCTTAACAGTGTTAAGTGGAAGAAATCTACAGTTCATTATCTTCAGTCACAAAATCATGCATTAAGATAATAAAGAAAAGTTCCAAAAACACAATGCAACTGTAAGGCGACAAATGGATATACAAGAATTAAAACTAATGATCACACTTTTATTAGTATGGATTGCAGAATTTAGACTATTCAAATCAAAAACCAAAAAAACACATCTTTGACACGATCCTCAGGAAATGTATAAGATTTAGACTACATTCCTCAATCATGAAAAGAAATCTTAGAAATGTGGTATATTTGATCTAAACAATCAGATAGTAGAAGAGCTTACATATCAAATATGCCTTATAACTCAGTACAATAACCCGGTGTATTGGATACCTACCTGAGTTGCATGATTGAATTTCAGGGATAAACACATAAAAACAGCACACACACACAAAAATACCTCACTACATTACAACAACCAGGGATAATATTATTAAAAGCATTTCACTCACCAGATAATTTAGATACCATACGTAAAACATGAGATAGTCTTCTAGGGACGGCGTTCTTTGAACTTTCTTCCACGTTGTCAATGTTTCTGTTATAGTTACTTTTATCCAGTTCTTGTTCTACTACCGACTCATCTATTGTTTCTTCTTCTTCAGATAAAATTGTTGCCTGTGAAACTGGTAAACAGGTCACTAATGGAATATTCATCGGTTTACAAGGGATTATAGACGACTTTGCATTCTGTTCTAGAGGAGGTGTAATTCTTAATTCATTGGCATAATCCCAAGCTATTGGTGTAGCTGATAGAAGGTTAGCATAATTCAACTGATTAATTTGTAATTGAGATGGTGAAGTTGGAGTGATAGAAGAAGGAGAAGAAGAGCTGGGTGATACTGATAGAGATGTATTCTTGTGTGAATTATAATAATTAGAATTAAAATTGAAAAATAACCGTTGTCTATCAAAACAGTCAATATTTTCGAAAACATCTGGATGCCAGTGACGTAAACAATGAGAATTTTTTGCAACAATTGTACTATTAGAAATACCTGAAATACCTGTAAGAAAAAAGGAAGGCAAAGAAGAAAAAGTGGAATGTGCAAGAAAATTTTTAAAAAAACAACAACAACAACAACTCTAATAGAGAAAAAAAGCTGAAGGCATGTATTAAAATGAAATAAGAGTATACCCTATTAAGCAAGCAATAAACAAATTCCAATGTTTCAATTATGATAATTGTGACTTTATAGTTGATAGATAACAGAATCTATGGAACTCATTCACTTTTCATTCAAGATTAAATCAGTTTAATTTATTTGTATATTTAATTAGAAGACAAATTTCACACGACTGTATGATATAACCGAATGATCAGATGAGCAATTTCATTATGAGCTAAATGTATTCTAAGAGTATTCCAATTAATTTGGATTAATTTCGTCACACAAAATCGAAGACTTACAAGCGAAAACCGACAAACTGGTCGAAGAAGCCGGCAGCAAAGACAGGACTCCAGGTGAACATAGACAAGACGGAGGTTGTGAAAATAACCAATCAACAACAACAAAAACAGCAGCAACATCCAGCGCCAATCACCATCAACGGGAGGGATTTGAAAGAGGTTACTTCTTTCACTTATCTAGGGAGCATTGTCTCAACTACAGGAGGAACGGACGACGATGTCAAATCGAGAATTGGGAAGGCAAGAAACACATTCATCAACCTGAAAACAATCTGGAAATCTTCGTCACTCAGCCTGCATCAACAACAAAATTCGGATTTGCAATACAAACGTCAAGTCAGTCAGTTCTTCTACACGGATCAGAAACTTGGCGGTGGGTCACAAAGAATATTTCGAACAGCCTGTTGCAGACCTTTATCAACAGCTGTCTTCGTTTTATACTGAAGATCAAATGGCCGGAAAGAATCACCAACAAGAACCAATCGCCCAACAAATATGCAGCAGGAAGTGGAGATGGATTAGACACTCGCTGAGGAAACCGCTGGGTGACATCGCGCGTCAGGCCATAGCTCGAGTGGAACCCGAAAGGGAAGAGGCGAGTGGGACATCCAAGGGTGACATGGAGGAGATCGTGTGAAGAGGAATTGAAACAGTATGGATTAACATGAATGCAAGTGAAAAGTACAGCAGAAGACAGAAGCAAGTGGAGACGTGTAGTTGAAGCCCTATGTTCCACTAGGAACCCAAGGGAATAATAATAATAATAATTTCGTCAATCGGAGTAAACTCCTCTTGGATCAAATAATTACCCCCCAAAGCCTTTATAAAAAAAAGATATTTAAAATGTGAAGATAAGGATGAATTGAAATGTGTTGCTAAGACACTTGGGTTAGTACACTGGTGATTTCTTACCGCAAAGAAACATTCTTAACAATCATGACATAAGAGTGTATCCTTGTGCAACGAACACCTTAGGCTCATCATTGGTGACAGTTAAGAATAAAATAGAAAAAGATAACCAACAGAATTGTGTGTACATGATCATTTGTGAGGGATTGTGACGCTGTATATGTAGGAGAAACTTCCACAGACAGGTAAATATAAGAGTGAAGGAGCATAAACAATGTCTAAAGGTGGTTGTTCCAAAGACATCTGCAGATTTGAAGAAGCTAGAAAACAGATCGGCGGTTTCATTACACTAGATAGAAATTGGACACAAGATTGACTTTGATAGGACTAAGGTTGTACAGAAAGGTTTTGGTGCATATGAAGGGAGACTGACTGCAGAGACATGGTAAGTCCTGATTAATAAATAAAAATGGATACGTATCATTAATCAATCATATGTGATCTAAATTCCCGATAGTCTATGAGTTCTTATGGAGAGGCTAACAAATGATTTACAATTGTTGCCCCATACACACATGCACATACACCATTGTATACCACAAATACATATATCTTTTTTCATATTCAATTATCTTCGACCGTGAACTTTAGTCGAACGTGATCATTGAAAATCTGATGTAAAAGTACACACTGTTTAACAAAAGTAGACTAATATTTGTCAGTCTGAGGTTAAATTTTGATCACAGTTCATGCGATTTTGTTGATTATATTTTAATGCCTGGTTCATGACTCATTTGATTGGACAAAATTAAAAAAACGGATGTCCTTTATATATATATATATATATATATATATAAACAAACTAATATGGAATATGTAAAAATAAGTTTGGACCAGTTTGCCGAAAGAAACATTGGAATTACTGATTTCAATTTCGCTGAGATTTTACAAATATAATTTTTACATATTCCATATTAGTTTGTTTATTAGATATATCACACAGTGAAAGTGTTATTATTTATTGGATGATGAAGTTTCGAACATAGCCTTTTGTTTATAATCATATTAATTATAATCACACGACTTCGAAACTTGAGTTTTAAAGTATTCTTTGTTCTTTCCTATTCGTCGTAGGAGTGGTAGAATTTGGGACAGGCGTTGAATCACTTCTGTTGCACGTAATTTCAGTTGATTCGATGAATGAAGCTTCCGTTATCAATAGGGAATAAGATGAGTCTTCAAATCTAATATTACAGGGTGGAGGGACAGATTGATAACAGAAGCTTCGTTTATTGAATCAACTACATACAAGTGTAATAGGAATGGTGGAAAACCTGTCCTAGACATCTGGAAAATTTTACTACCCCTTCGACAAATAAGAAAGAACAAAGAATACTATAAAACTCAAGTTCCGAAGTCGTGTGATTATAATTCATATGATTATGAACAATAAATTGTGTTCAAAACTTTGTCATCCAGTAAATAATATTACTGTTTCACTGTGTGATACATCTAATAAACAAACTAATATGGAATTACTTACTACTACAGTGTCCAAGTTTTACACATATATTAATTTTTACATATGTCTACGGTGTAGTTTTTGTCATTGGTATTAACTCTAAAATGTGGTTTAATATTACCAGCTATTGAATCACATGGTCTATTTTACGCCTAACAACACATGAATTCGTGAAACATTAGCAATGGATAAAAATTAAGGTTGATAAAATGAGAGGCATAACATTCATACTCTGAAATTGCTTGGATAAGAGTGCGCCACACGATCACATACCTACTGCCATCCTACGCGAAATACCCATAGAGATAGTTATGATTTAACACATGCAATTGCTTTTCAACTATGACTTGAAGAAACAAGGTTTTCTCGATATGGACATTTTACACATGATTCAAAATATCATCCTTCAAAATTGCACAGACACTTACATAACTGACTAGTTGTAAGAGCTGTTTCTTTTATCGCCCTAAACAATCCCCCTCCAATGTAGATAAAAGGAAGGCGTCATACTTGAATACCAGGGAATGTGGCAAGGCTATCACATTCATCGATATTAGTGGATGGACTAACTCACGCCATCTCTGGCGTAGGCGTGACATCCGGCTATCAACCAAGGGACGTGTGTACTGCTCAGCAGTTCGCTCCGTCCTTCTCTATGGCTCTGAAACATGGCCAATACGAGTTGAAGACATGAAAAGGTTGACTGTTTTTGATCATAGATATTTACGATCTCTTTCTCACGTTAGGTGGTATAATAAGGTAAGTAATGTTGACGTTAGGCGTAGAGTGTTGGGCAAAGAGGGAAAATCAATCGAAGAGGCTATAAAGTTACATAGATTGAGATGGATAGGTCACGTGCTGCGCATGCCTAACCATCGCCTCTCCCGACGAGCATTACTAGCTGATATAGGTGCAGGTTGGAAAAGAGTAAGTGGTGGCCAAACAAAAACATGGCCTCATCAATCCATGAAATCCCTGACAGTTAAACTGAGTCAGGTAGGGAGATGCAGACTTCCGGGTTAGGGCCCCCTTGGGACTCTAAGAATCAATGGCTGGAGACAATAGGTGACATGGCTCAAAATCGTTGTCAATGGCTTACGCAGATGTAATCAGTCTCTGTAATCTTTCATATTCCATTCTACCATTACTCATTCTGTTTCACTCTTATACTTGTCAAAACTCTATTGATTCTCTTCACTCATTTTCTTGTTTACCTTTGTGTGCTATTTGGAACGTGGCAACTGGAACTGCTGCACTTCGGTGCCAAGTTCTATGTTGAATCCAAACAGACAGAGTGGATGGACGAAAAAAGCAACAAACTTTGAAATGATAATATGCTAGAAATTAATGAAGATGAGATGTGGATGTATTACTGTCACCAACTACTGATACCAGTGCTATCTGAGGGGGGGGGGGACTAAACAAGTAAGTATATACATTTCCACACATTACAGACTAACAGTCATGTACTTCATAGACTAATGAAATGACTTTTTTGGCTTCCATCGATTTCCGCTTTTATTCCATTCCACCTAAAAAGTGGTTCGGTTCCGTGTATAAGCACTCGACTTACAACCAATGAATTCCGAAATCGAGTCCAACTCCACCCATATCAGCCTGGGGAACTGGGAAGCATCAGCAGCCTTCACACAATCTGTGTGTCCAGTACATGAAAAATCTACTCCAGATAACTGAGTTATAACTAATATAACTTGAATAGGTCAGTGCTAACGTCTCTGAATGTAGCCCTGGGTGACCTGGGTTTGAACCTCAGAGGGGACTTAAGGTAGGTAAGGTTGAGGATTCCTGCAGATTGTCTCCAACCATTTTGCCTGTTCTTGGTTTCGCCCAATCAAAAAAGTTATTTTGCTTAATTGAACAGTAGGATAAACTTAGTTATTTCGTTTTATAAAATATAGCCTTTTTCGAATTAATTCAGATGACATTATTATCTTGAAAATTAAGTTCGGAGAAGTGTTTTATTAACTTTAAACATCCGGCTTTTAACAAATTGATCCGGTGGAGTCCTGCTCCATCTACTTCAACCAGAGGACTAATGACCCTTACATGGTAAGTTTATGGCTCACAGTCTGCTATCTGTTCAGGGTAACTGAATTCAACTAAAAATACGTGTTCACTTTCTGATGTTAGACTAATTACAGATTTCAAAATATCTGATTTAACGAGTGGTGGATACTCAAAGATAGGAAATTTGCGCTCACATTTAAGGATTTTTGACACAGATCAACGTAGAGTGTTGTACAGAACTTCAAAAGGTTACGACTAAATAAAAGTTACTGGGAAAGTTTAGAATTTCAATAATATTGAGCACTATGGCGAGATACTGTAGGCATTCCTGTTCACTTACCTAAATGGCTAAGATTAATAATCATCAACTGTATAGAGTGGTTCCAGTGCCTCTATCTAAAGAGTTCCAATTTTCTTTTGATCTAACCTTACTGAGGTTTGGAACCCACAAAACTTTTGTTAGCCACAGTATTTAGAGGGATACTCAATCTTATCAAGTGATGATTAAAAGAAGACGCACACAAGTTAGAAGGAGCTTGAGACCATTGTAGGATAATAAACTGAACAAATCCTTTCTGCACATAGATTTTGAGGTTGCTTTGAAGAATCGCTAATACCTCCGCCGCCATATACAAGTGTGGAAAACTGACACACCTTGCATTGGTCAACTTAAACTTTTAAATTATTTTAAGAGAAGATGCTGGTGGATCTACGTGATCTGAGTGCATCAGGCACTCGAAAGTTGTGTTGGTAACTGATTTTCATTATCAGCTTGACAAATATGCAGGATGGTGTTCTCAGATGGGCTTGGAAAATGTGTGCTTTTTAAGGTTGATATAACTAGCTACACAGGGTAAATTGAATTTATAACTGAGCAGTTAGGTGATCCAAGGAGGCGGTTCGTTTCTCACACAATCGCCTGTCATTTGCCGACTGTTTTGAATGAGGTCTTGACTGAGTATCATAATCACAGGTAAAGACGCTTCTAATTCTTGAAGATGAGGAGTGTTGATATTTTTGCGCTGATGGAAGTCTCTTTATATACTACTGATAGATCTCGTCAGTAGCACACGTCACAGCTTGACAGTTATTTACTTCCTTTAACCAGACAAGATGGAGTCACGATAAGCGTGAATGATAATTTGAATAAGCAGTCATGTAAGGTTTTTATATTATCTCACAAAACACTCAGATAGACATGACGCTTTCATAACAGAGATGACCAATGAAGCTTGAGAGGATTAGTATTGGTGCACTATTACAAATACTATTACAAATAATACTTTTCACGAAATGTGGAGTGAAAGAAATTTTTCTAAAGCAGTAATAATAATAATAATAATAAATCGACCAACCCGAATTCTTACCTTTCTCACTATCATCAAAATCCCACAAAATTACTGGTCGATTCATTGATGTTGATGAGGATGTAGTGGTATCACAGCAGGCTGATAATGTCATTGACATGTGATTCTGTTGCTCTTGTTCACCATTTGGCGTCATATTCAAAGAATTACAAGGCGGGATGTTGGTACTACCAGCAGTAGTAGTAGTAGTAGTAGTATTAGTAATTGTAATCGATGGAATACTTAAACGTTTGAATGCAAACAATTCTTTTTCTAAATCAACCGCTCCATTACGAGTTACTTCATTTTTGACTGTGCTATTGGATGAACTATCATTACCAGTGGCTGATGATGAAGAATCTACTGATAGATTTCCGTCTGCAGCTGTACTAGCAGTACTTCCATTTTGTTCAAATTCTTCATGGGTTGGAGAATTTCCACCAGTTACCTCGTCATCATTACGGTGATTTTGATGATTATCACCAGGATTATTTGACAAGGAACTGGTCACATTACTGTTCTGTTGACTAATATTGGTACTGTTTGTTGATGTATTCCCCGGGGGTGACATTTTATTCGGTTTATTTTGATCATTGTGAAAAATTGGTTTGTGTCGATTAGAACTACATACAAAAAAAAAAAAAACATAAACCAAAATTGCACTATCAGTAGTTATAAAGGAAACATAACTTCTTGATCAGAGTACTCATCCAGTAGTGAATAATCATAAGTTTCAACTCAGATATGGGTAAACAGATACTGTTGTTCATCAATATAATCACATGAGAAGTATGACTCATTGTCAAGTGGTTGTGAAGTTGCACTTTTTTGTGCTTGCACAACATCAGAACATATAAATAAACAAATTGTTATGCAACTTTAAAAGTAAAAAAAGTGTGGTGTTGTAGTGAAACCAAAACCTATATAATTAACACTAATCAATGTTTTATTTTCTCTCCTTGTAGGAAGATACTCGGGAGTCAACTATCTGGACCAAGAGATACAATAAATACAAGGTCTAAGCCTTAGGGAAGACAAGAAAGACTGTTAGACTGGATCCCCACAATTTTTAAAATTGATTCTTGTGGAATAAACGTCCTCTGCATAGCTTGTGTTCTGCTTTTATTATCTGTGTGCCTATTGCTCTGCTTGTTACAATGTTACTGGTTTAAGCATGAGAATGCCAATGAATACGGCCTTCATTCAAACGCCACTCTATTTTTTTTATCTTACTCCAGTGGAACATAGGGCTTCAAGCTAGAGGCTTGAAGTTTCGGTAGCAGTGTTTATTTTTACAGGATGGGGTTGCTAGCCTCATGCCCAACCTTTCTTCTTTACCAGCTTTATTTCTGGTTTAACGAGGTAAAGGAGTGTGTCGGCCGGGGATCGAACCCCGGACCATGTGCATGGTCGGTGAGCATCCTAACCGCTGTGCCACCGACGCACCCACTCTATTTACTTTGATCTAGATAAGCGGATAATGTCATAAACCTCAATACAGTGAAGGACTCATAGTCAAGTGTATAGGCTTGTTACCATCAATTAGATATTTGCTTCACATTTCTGTGTGTGTGTGTAGTCTTAAAGAGTAAACAATGAATCTGATTGAACAATATACATTTGTTTAATCCTTTATCTCCCAGGTATTATTTGGCGGTTATTTTAAAATGAAGTAATAAACTGATAGAAAACGGTAAATGATGATATGATTTAAATGCAACCACAGACACACTGACTCATCACCTTCACTTAACAGCATATTATTGTATCGTTTATGTCTTCCGTTAATTAATTCTCATCTTTCTTTGTGAACCGATGAGAGTTTCAATGAACATGAACTGTGGCGTTTCTATTCAACATTATGCCTGGCGTGTTTTCATTAAAACAACAAACAACAATCACTACTTTTTTCTCTCTCTACGTGTTACGGAAAAGGACATTAAAGTATGCTAAAGATGATTAATACGCAGAATATATTGAGCCATAGTGATACTTATTAACAATAATGAAGAGAATTCAGTAAACAATCCGTAAACAGTTGACTAAGCACTCAACTACGCTAATGATGAAATGTAGAATGTGATCGGAACAATCATCTATGATCATATAATACGATTATTAATAAGAGTGCAATAAATTCAATATTACAAAATGACTAAACGTGTAGTGTAGTGTAGTGTGATAATAACATGACAATAATATCTAAACGACGTGCGTCTGAGGTTCAGGCCAGGATACGATTACCGACAGACGAGCACTCTTAAACCTCGCCTAACCAGTAGTAACCTTGGGAAAGAGGGCAGGTTGAGCGTCAGACAACACAGTCGCCACTTAAACTTCAAAAGTTTAAAGCTCTATGTTCCACTCAGTACGCAAAAAATATTTATTTGTCATCACGAATGTATCATGAAGGCAAATAACCATATAGAGAACACTGTTATTAACAATAACTGTAAATATTTGTAGTGTTATTATTATTATTATTATTACCAGAGACTGGTTGCATAGTAAACTGGGTTTTTTCAGTAATTCATAAGCATCCATAATTGAAAGCATAGAAGAACCACTAACTGTCATCACGTGAAGGCAAGAATTACAGCCAACCGATTGAGTGCAACTTAATTAGATTATATTCCCCTACTTCTTTGTGTGATATAACAGAGCTTTTCTTTTCTAAAATGAATTTATCAGAGGACACTATTGCATATATATATATATATATATGCATAATAAGGTAAACTGATGGTTTTTTAAGTGCATTTTATTGATTATCTCAATCATAAAAAGTGTACTACTTATCTATTGTATCTCAACTGGATTTTAATTCTAATCTATATGATATTTGGCCTTATTAATAGGATTAAAGAAGGATTTTCATAACATATAATTAGGAGAATTTAATATCCTTTAGTTTAAAACCAGTGACGATATTCCACTTCATTTGTTCAAATACTTACTAATTATTTTTACAGTTATTTGTAGATCTTAGGAGGCGCTATAATACACCATTACTTATTCTCCTGTGTGTATAATGTTAGCATTTCAACCTCTGGTCAAGATTTGACCGAATAGTTTCACAAACAAATTGGGCGCCAAGTAAGAAGTAGACACAGGTAAAAAGTGCATCACAGTGAAACTGAAATAAATAATTCCATTGTTTTTACGAGTTGATCACGGATTGATATCAGTTAGAGAACCATTGAAAACCAGGGATTACTGCACAGCTGTTTCATCCTAGTTTGGGAATCATCGGCAGTACGCACTCACTGGGACTCGAACCCAGGACCTTACGGTTACAAGGCAAGCTTGTATACCATTCAGCCACTGGGACCCGATTCAATGGCCAGCCCATGAATTCTAACTTCTACCAATTCGTGATTTAGCGCGACCCCAGCCAATGTCGTCGGTGGGACATCCATCCTCACACGTGACATCTGGATGAATCTCACTGGTCACGACTTCTCACTAGAACTCCATGAAACTCCATCCTGTAGCAAGTCACTAGCGAGCATCAGATTAATTTTCTATAGTTTGGTTAGTAAGGGTTAGTTATGTTTTTACGAGTTGATCACGGATTGATATCAGTTAGAGAACCATTGAAAACCAGGGAGTACTGGACTGCTGAATCACAGTGAAATTGAAATAAATAATTCCAATGTATTTGAAAAGTGAATATAAGAATGTAACAAAGCCTTCTGTTGAGAATTGGTTCAATATTGTGGTGATTCCTTATCGTATGGAAACGTCAAAATAAATAAATAAATAAAGACAATCCTTAACAATCATGACATAGGAATGTATTTCCGCGCAACGAAAACCTTACACTCGGAACTGCTAAATATTAAGGATATATTGGAAGTTTAGAAATCTCCTACACTCAGCATAATCAAACAAGATTCCGATTTTTCAACACTAATGTCAAGTCAGTTCTTCTGCATGGGTCAGAAACTTGGCGCAGACGTCACGAAAAGTATTTCGAACAGACTGAAGACTTTTATTAACAGCTGCCTTAGCTCCATACTAAAGATTATCTCACGCCAGGTAGATTCTCGAGTGGAACCTGAATAGAAAGCGACAGATGGTGACTTGAAGGAGATGAGAGCTTATGTGCAATCTTAGAGACAGATAAACAGGACTGCAGAGAACAGGACAAAATGGAGATGTACTGTTGAAGCCTCATGTCCCACTCCTAACCCCACAGAAAAATTATAATAAGAGATAACCAACAGAACTGCGTGTTCCAAGTAAAATGCGGTGATTGTGATGCTTTATATGAACAAAAAGATTTACAGGCAAGTAAACGCAAGAGTAGAAAAAATATAAAAACGCGCCTAGAAGTAGTTCCCAAGAACCCAGGGCATTTGAAGAAACTATATTCGATAGAAACGGAACACAAGGTTGATTTCGGTAGGACCAAGGTTCTACAGAAAGGTTTTGTTCGTATGAAGAAAGATTGACCGCAGAGGCCCTGCACATATGGGTGAACTCAAAAAATTTGAATAGACGTGACGATGTGATGTTACCTGATGCATGGTAAGTTTTGGTTATTAAAAAAAACAGATCTGTTTAATTGAATTTTGGATTTACCCGTCGATTGATTGGACCGAAGTGCTCGGTCTCAGGTTGACATGTCGGCTTTTTGTGCAGATGCTTCGACGATGTCTGGGCATTTAAACAGTATTTGATTGGTGGATAGTGACGGGAAAATCCAAAATTCAGTTAAATTAATATGACCCGTTGCACAAGAGGTGGCTCTCGTTGCCCAAGTGGTCTAGTGGACACCGCTTTGGCATTTGAAACTATGGGCGTTGGGTTCGAGGCTAGGTTGGGACATCATCACTTACTGATAAATGCAGGTATATCCGGATGACGAGTCCCAAATAGGACGAAATGCACATCCTGGATTCCACTGCTAGTCACCATCCACCAATTAAAAACAGATCTGTATCACTAATTTTCATGCTTAATTTAGTAGCCTGATTATCTGTATCTTCTACAGCAACATACGTTTACATACTTCGTTGAAATGACCAATGTTGTCATCATGGATGTATGAGATTCAAAAACTTTAATTGATATACCAATAACCAGCATTAACGTCGTTTTATTAAATTTTATTCTGAATATGCTAAAAAATGATATAGCAATTGTTCAGCCGTACACATTATTTTATATCACATATTTTCTAATCCAGATTTCTTTACTATTTGGTAGGTCCTTATGACGTTTTTACGAACATTTTTTTATTATAGACTAATATAGAAGTACACACACACACACACACTGATTACAGTGTACAATAAGTTGTGAAACTATCCGATCAAATCTTGATCACATTTCATGCAATTTGATTATTCTTTTTTTGATGACTATTCACGACTCAAATATGGCTGGACAAGAATTTTAAAGAGATGTGTCCTTTTAAATATACTTTAGATATTGTAATTTTGATTAATCTCTCTAGAAGACGTTTGGTCCAGTTTGTCGAACGAAATGTTGGAATTATTTAGATCAATTTTGCTGAGATTTATACAAATATAATTTCTACGCATATGCATGAATTTTTATCTGTGAAAAGAGTTTAATCCATAACTATTTTGTTTGTTTGTTTTTGAAATTTTAA